ACTGTAAAACCTGTATACCCTGAATCTGAGGTGGATTGACCCACTGAAAAAAGTAGTGGGTGTTCACATGCAAGTTAAAAGGCACTTGTCTATTTATTACCTGTTTTAAAAGAATGCACAGAGCTCCATCAATTTTTACTTTAAAACAAATCCAGAATAATCACTTGTAAAGGAATAAAATACAAGTTTTACTAAAATATGTTTATTAAAATAAAATATAAAATTGAAGTATGATCTCATCATACTTCATACAAGTAAAAAGAATTATATGCTTAGAAAAAGACCTCAGCATTGAAGTGGTTGTATCTGGGTTGTGGAATTATAGACGATTTTGTTCTTTCCTTTTCCAAATTTTGCAGTGAATGAATGAATATAACATCTAAGTTAGTTCTACATTAAGCCAGTAAGTAATGTGGACAGTAATTCTTATGACATTTTATTATTAAAAATAAATATAAAAATCATATTCAAAACTTCATACACCAAATCTTATGCTTTATTTGTTCCCAGTTGACCCACTAAATCTGATGGAAAGATTAAAGGATTTCTTGACCAGGCAAATCAATTGTGTTAATAGTCTCTAAGCCTGCTTAACCAGTATTTTTGTCCCTTGGTCAGAGTCAAAGCTAGTAACAAGTAGTAAGATGAGACAATTATAATTTATCTTGCCTTTTATTATCTTTGCTTTCTTTATTACGTAGAATAATGAAGCAGGAAGAATAGAAATAAACCAAATTTTGATCCATAGTCAGATACTGCAATCAGAAATTCTGTATAATCGTGGTGTTCACCCTATCATTCAAGAGGCTTTTTGCAAAGATAGATAAAGTCTGAATATTCTGATGTTTCATATGCTCAAATCAAACACTGGAAAGCAGAGGTTTCCTTTCCTTAAAATTACATATCATATCTTAGAAATAATAATAATACTTCTCACCCCAGCTATCATGTGTTTCAAAAACACCAAAGGAAAAAAAAAGTATAATCCCATTCTGTTTGGATTAAAAGTAATAATAGTAAGTGTCACTTAATGTGGTCAGTGTAGATTTTGATACATTGAATTGTACTAAACAGTCGTTCTGAAAAAATATGTAGTTGGTCAATCCTTTCAATCTGTAATTATACTAGGCTGCATAACGTACCATTGTGTGTCACATGTTCTTAAGTTAGGGGTTCATGCTCTTAAGTAAAAGAAATCCAGGGCAGTTACACAGCTCCGCAAACTCATCAGGACTGTGGGTCCCTCTATGTATATATTCCTAAGGCTAAAATGGAATATCAGTGACTAGATTTACCTTTCTGCCCAGAACAACTACAAAACTGGACAGAATACATGAGAAGGGAAAAGAGACATGACTCCTTGATTTCCCTGGTCCCCAACTTATTACCTGGAGAGGATTTCCAGGTGTCACTTATGAATAGGGTGATAGTGACTGGTATCTGCTTTTCCAGTGTCCATCCTGTGTTCTTAGTAACAAAATTGGCTTTATTCAAGGTGTCACTGTGTAAATGACCACTTTTCCCCAACTCCTGGGCTTCTAAGAGTGGCCACAGAGATATACATGGAAGTTACTGAGTGAGACTTTTGAGGAATTTCTTGAAGGGAGAGGTGACTTGGCTGAGAAGGACATCTTTCTGTCCCAGTTCCTTCTTCCTCTTCTTGTCTAAAATATGGATGTGATGGCTGGAACTTGAGCAGCCAACTTGTGATTCCGAGGATGGAAGCCATACACAAAGGATGAAGAAGCAGAAAAATAAACCCTACAATAGACTGCTACCATTTTTGTTTTAAATATTATCTTTTAAAGAAATTTAAAATAAGAAAAAAGGTCATATTGCTAGGCAATTAATGAGATTGTATTTTCCATTATACTTAATTGTTAGTGAATCTGAAGTGCCAGTACAATTTTGTACTTAATTTCTCAGTAACAGCTTTATTGGCATGTAATCCACATGCCATAAAATTCACCCTTTCAAAATGTACAATTCAGTGGTCTTTAATGTATTTACTCCCCACTATCTAATTTTAGAACATTTTCATCACCTCCCACAGAAATTTCATACCCTTAGCAGATTCTCCTCATTCTTTTACCCACTAAGCTCCTGGCAATCACTAATCTATTTTCTGTCTGTGGAGTTGCCTATTGTGAATATTTCATAGCAATCAAACCATAAAATATGTGATTTTTATGTCTGACTTCTTTCACTTGGAGTAATGTTCTGAAGGTACATCCACATTGTAACACGTATCAGTGAGTACTCCATTTCTTTCTGTGGCTGAATAATAGTCCATCATAGGGACAGACCACATGTTTATCCATTCATCAGCTGATGGACTATGGATCGTTTCCACTTTTTGACCATTATGAATGATGCTGCTATGAACATTGATGTACAGATTTTTGTGTGGGTGTACATTCTCAGTTCTCTTTGGGTATATGTCTAGGACTAGAATTGCTGGGTCATGCTTTGTGCTTATTTCTTTTGGAGTCTAATGATTCATGTTTATTCACGCTAAATGTAGTGTCCTGAGAAGTATTTTGTTTCAGTTTGAAGCTCAAGCATGATTTGAGGCCAGGGACACTTCAAGGAGTGCTGTTGCCATTGGAGATAAAGAAGGCACATGGAGAAATTAAATGGTGGTTATGCTTGTTTTACAGACAGTGTCATGGCTGCTTGCTTTCTTTTCCCAAGCATATTCCTTTGATTGTTTTTGTGTTTCTTGTGTGACAGCATTGTTTTTATGTACCACATTAAGTTATATTTTATATTTCCTTTTCAGGCCTTCCCAAAATGTATATTGACATCATTAGAGGAGAATCACTGATCATCTGTAGCTTCACATCTATTTTATTTGGAGTTTATCTGAGTAATTTACTTCACACTTTCCTGTTTAGGGGTAGGAGCATTTTGTTGTTTTTTTTTGTCTTTATGTTTTCTAAAATCATTCTTATATGGTACATTTCAATTCATACTGGAATTAAAATACGTTCAAGATGTTTTTATTGTTTTCCCTATTAGAGTACTATATCAGGCAACAAGAAAAATTGCCACCTGTGTTTTCTTGGACAGTAGGGTGGAAAGAATGTTAAAGAAATGACTTCATTTCCCTCAATATGTGTGTGTACATGCACACGCTATTGTGTCATCTGGTTCAGATTTACTTCTTTCCTGGGTCAATCTGAATTTCAGTGAGTGTATATTAAGAACTGGCTTGGTCCTGGATTGGAGTGTGAGGATAAAATCAGAATAGTTCAAGAGTCAGGCCCTAGAAATGATAATAGTCAGATTCAGTGGTTAAAGTTCAGTGGTATATGTGGAGCATGTTTCCTTGCTAGGTTTCCAGATGTGGAGTTAGCAGAGATTAACAGGAGGAAAATCACTGCACAGAGGGAAGGTGTCCTCCTGACAGGTTGTATGATAGTTGTCGGTGGACAGAGGTGGTAAAAGGAGAGAGAAATAACTGGTGATGAGGAGGGGTTTGCAGTGCTTCTCAGTGGGGGAGCTTTTGGTTTGGGGCTGGACAGCCTTTGTTATTTAAGGCTGTTGCCTGATACCTGCCACTGTTGCCCCCACTGCCACCACTGTGACTACGGAAAACTTCCTTCTCTGTTTCCCCAGTGCCCCCCAGGCTGGAGGTGATAGTCCTAGATGGAACTGCAGGTTGGTGAGGGCCCTGGACATGGTTTGCTTGGCCTTGACATGGTTTATAAAACATTTGAATTTGGGTATCTTTTGGTTGGGTAGCCACTCTCCAGTTCGTTGCAGGCTCTTCACATTTATGTTCCCTGCCTAGCTCCTGAGGGCATTTGAGTCTGCTGTCTCAGAATAAGTAAACCTCGAGCTGCATACTGTGAGGGAAGTACACCCCAGAGAGCTTCTTTTGCCAGGCTTTCATGGGAAACTCCTATTTGCTGAAGAACAAGGTTCCCACCCAAAAATCTGAAGAGTAAACTGAAGCGCATAGACCCAAATGCCATCAGTGAAGGAAACAAAAGCTGTAATTCACCTTTTTTTTCTTACTTTCTAGGGTTGCACGTAATCCTGGTGATTTTGGGAAGCATAATATGTGGATATTGTTGTGCAAGGATCATTCAGTTTATAATAACTGCCCTGTTCAGCAATACACTAACTAGTGTCATCCTCTGCATTTCAGTGGTGTACATGACTTTCTACATTGGTAAGGCAGAAACAAATACCAAAATGCTGTCTTCAGAGTGAACTTTATGCATCTTTATTTTCCCTTGATCTTGAATCTAGTTGTTTGTTTCCAACCTCTTCCTCCTTCTCTTGACTCTTTTGTGTGTCTTATCATATTATCTTTCTACCACTTCTACTTCTTTCCTGGTATCTCTTAACAGCTCCTTAATTTCAACTCCATGTTCCTTCCCTTTGCATTTCTACTCTATGTGGTTCCTCTCTTATTCCTTTTGAACTCTATCTTTCGACCTTACTCTGAGTCCCTGGCAGTCCCCTGGAAGAGGAATTGGTACTGAGCTGATTCCTGCTCTGACCCTTAGCAATCTATTTGTAAAATGAGAAAGTTGGGGGAGCTGCTCCTGAGGTCTTTTCCCACTCAACAGTCTTGAATTCAATGGGAACCACATTGGGGGGACTGTAGAAATGGCAGTCCTCACTCCCAGCTAGGAGGCAGGACAGGGGAGGAAGTCAGGGATAGGGATACCTGTGTTTGGAAGAGGAGCAGGAGAGTAGACTAATTGCAGGAGTTGGAGTGCCTGACACAATAATCATTTGCTAGTTTAATTCAGTGAGATTGGGAATTAAATATTTACTAACCTGGCTCAGGTCACCAGTCACCAGGAGCCACTGTAACTATGTGTCTCTTCTCCTCAGTCAAGGAGCAACTCCCATCCGTGAAAGATCTCAGGTAGCACAAGGCTCTTACTCCTCTTTTCACCTCCAGTTACCTTAAAGAACTGTTTCCTCTACAGGCAACTTGCCCCTTGGGTGTAGCTCACTGCTCTGAACCAGTAAAATTAGAGAAAACTTTCACTGAAAGGTCATTTCCTTACACCTTCTTCACTTTTTTGCCCTCTCCTGTGAACCTTTTATGGGTGCTTTAAATGTCTGAAGAAAGTACTTTTAATTTAGTATTTCTGTTTCTTCCTTGGGTGGAGGCTGTCTCTTATTCATATTTTATTTACTTTCTTTTCTGTGTTCCCCCAGCCAGCCCCAGTGCTCACCATATGCCTGTTAGTAATTGAACACATCTTGGTTGAATAAGCTGATACTAGTTCTTGCGCTTTGGAGTTAGGCAGACTTGAGTTCAAACACTAACTTCATAATTCATTATCTTGGTGACCTTGGATGAATTACTTAACCTCTTTAAACTTTAAATTAGTTTCCTCATGTATACAAGTAATAGAATAACTAATTTATAGGGTTGTTACTGGCGTTAATGAGATAATGGGTGTTATGTGACTTGCTTACGCTGGTGTACTAGAGATAGAAGCTACTAGCTCATGAGAGCTGTTTGTGTACATATCTTCCCAGCTCTGTGTTCAAGTGGCATTGTGTTGGTAGCTTGAAATTGGACATAGTGGAAGTATTTACCCCGTGGAAGTTGGCAGACACTACCTATCAGGGCTTTTTTTTTAATAATCCCCAGAGAGCTGGTTTTAGACATTTAGTTGCATACCTCAGGACTCAAGATAGGGCAGCCAATAAATGTTAGTTCCCTTTCTCTTTCTCTTCTAAAAAATAGAAGAGATTCCTGTCACTGCTTGGCAGGCCTGGAACAGACACCCCTCCTAGCCCTCAGGAGGAACTACTGCCCCCAAATCCTTGATCTTGGGCCTCTAGCCTCCAGAAATGTGAGACTGAAAATTATTGTTTAAGACACTTTGCTTGTGGTACTCTGTTACTCCTCCATTACACTTCCCTCGGCTTAAAGGACTTAAAGAACAACCTTGGCAGCCCTTTCCTCCTATGTTTAATATGCTCCTGCCAGCAGAAGTCAGTAACAGACATTGTAATAGTGAATTCCATTGCTAAAAAGCTAACCATAGATAACATTCTCATTTATACATCCTCTATTGTTACATTTATGTCATGTTATTTGTTTTTTTCCTTCACTGATGAATATATTGTCAACTGGATCAAGTCCAGGGAGTATCCGACTTAGGTTAGAGAGTCATCTCTTTGAGCACATATAGTAATTTCCATTTTTGTCTCAATTGTGTTAAGATCATGAAACCTGGACTGTTTAGAAATAACTTGTATCAGCACATTCATCATTTTTTCACAAAATAAAACAATCCAAAAATGGCACAGACATTGCTCTATAGAAAAATGATGCAATGCTTCTGGAACATTGTTGGTTGAAGGGTAGTACAGCTTGAAATATTAATATATCAGCCCATGGAAGGAAGTTTGAATTTAGGGTACTTTAAGAGAGTCGGTGTAAATTCATGAAAGATGGTGGGTTACATAAAAGTCTAGGCCCGAAGTATACCAAGAGAGGTAGTAGGAGGCATCTCTCCTAAAGAGGAGTATTTTATCAAGTGACGTTGTTCAGAATTTCTGTGAAATGGAGATAATAAAAAACGGATGACTTTTAGTCAACTTCATCATTTTAAAACCCTACAAACAGTGCCCCTTCTGGCCCATGCCAGAGCTGATTGCTCTGCTATCTCTTTGTTAGGATCTTGGCCTAGGCTATTAACGTCAAAGGGAGTCCAGGGATACCAACAGTCACTGGCTGTTCATCATCACCCTGATACATTCTAGTTAGGATTCTGTTACTCTTAGGAAACAAAATCTTTTTGATTCTCCTATCAGAAGGACCTTTACTTTCTTTAAACCTGAGAGAGACAGAGATGGATTAAGAGAGGCACTTGCCTGCAGCATCAGTTTTCTGTGATAGTTTCTTTCCATTGAATCAGAAGAACTTTCCGATTCTATAGTTAATCACTTGGTGGTTTTATGCTGATGAACACGGCTTCCTATATTGCATGTTCCCCAACTTTTTCCCCCCTTCTGGAACATTTAAAATATAATTTGATATAATAGCATTTGTAATTTCTTAAAGCCTTTGTTTTTCTAATTACAGTAGTAACACATGCTTATTGTAGAATTATGGAAAAATTCATGAAAGGTCAAAGAAAAAAATACCTATAAACCTGTTATAAATTTAACCACTGAAACATTTTGATATCATCCTCAGTCTTAAAAAAAATAAAAGAAACATACATGCATATATTTATATATGCATTTACCATATATTTTGGTAACATTGGGATTATACTAAATAAGATGGTATCAGTTTTTTAAAAAGTTTAGTGGTTTCCTCATAGCCAGATGTTGTCTTTAGGTAGCAACTATTACTGAAAGACTATGATGAGCTTTAAAGATCCAATAATACTAATTATAGGGAATTGGAAATAAGGTTTCTGGAGACAGTTTTCCTGTCATCACAGTTCTCAGCACTACTGGGTTTACTGTCATTGGCTATTTATATCAACTTTAGGTAAATAAGTAGGTAAAAAGAAATCTATTAGATAAGCCAGAGGAATAATGAAATCTATTAGATAAACCAAGGATTAATAAAATCCTCTTCAAATTAATAAACAGTGTTAATTTGCTAAGTGGTAAAGTAAGCATATAAAAATAATAGCACAATCATAATAGTTATCATTTATTCATTGTTTTAAAGTGTGCCAAGTACTTTTCCCGAGAACTAATGATATCCTCACAATAACTCTATGAGGCATTATTCTCTTACACCCATTTTACAGATGCTGGGACACTAACTGAGAAAAGGGAGGCCACATTCTCAGAGCAACCAGCTCTGCCCGTTCCAAAGCACGTCTGTTCCCACCTTGCACGCACATTATTTCCCTTCCTTCCTGTCTGAGGCTTATAATGGGCTATTTGGAGGCTCTGTAGCCAGTGACAATTGGTATCTCTGGTATCCGAGCCTTCTTTATGGCTGGTTTTCCTGCCTCAGACAACATTTGGACATTTGTTTAGAGGCCAAGGAATTACAATTTTAGGGGAGTCTATCTAAATCAGGCAGAAGAATAGCAGGCTTCAGGCCCTGCAGTCACCATGGAAGCACTGAGCTTATACCACAAATCCTAGGACATGCAGCACAATGTCACTGAGGTGCTGGGCAGAGGCTGTTAAATTTGTTTTCCTAGTAGCCCTTTCTTCAGTGATGGTCTACAGCAGGTGTTGGCAAACTGTATGGCCTGTGGTCCATATTTGGCCCACAGACTCTATGGCTTAAGTGGTCCTGCCTTCATGGACACTAATTAAACTCCCTTTTTAATACCTTTTTTCTACTCATTAATTTTTACTTTCAGTACCATGCCTATTTTTGTACAGCCCATGAGCTAAGAAAAGTTTTTACATTTAAAAATGGTTTTAAAAAAATCCCTACAGAATAAAATTTTTCAGTATGTGAAATTCATTTCAGTGTCTATTATTTATTGGACATTCATTAGTTTATGGATTATCTATGGCTGCTTATGCACTATAAAGCTGAGATGAGTAGTTGCAACAGGGACGTATAGCCTGCAAAGACTAAATATTTACTCTCTGATCCTTTACAGAAAAAAGTTTGCTGACGCTTGAGCCCAGGATTATATTAATCCCTTGAAGCAATTTTCTAAGAGTGGCTGTTAAGTTACTCACCAGTTCTTGACTCTTGACTCTTATCTCAGTGTGCAGATTTGAATGTAACTAATTTTATTCATTTTTTTTCTCCCCAGTGGAATTTTTAGGAATGTCAGGTATGGTTGTGTTAGTCATCGTTGGACTGAGTATAGATTCCTTAAGCTTTAAACGGAGGATCGAGTTAATAATTACTAAGTAAGTCTTCTATTGTATACTTGGTATAAATCTTATAGAATTATAATGCTTAAGTGGTCCTGCCTTCATGGACACTAATAAAATTCCCTTTTTAACAACTTATTTCTACTCATTAATTTTTAATTTCTCTACCAGTTATATTTGAAAAGAACTTAAGGTACCAATTATTATTGACATTAATTGATATTCCTATCATGAATAATGTGGCTCAGAGACCATAGGATATTTTATATGTAACTCTGATAAAAATTTACTTTGAATTGTAGAAAGTTTAAAATAAACTTAATTCGTTTGTTTCCTTCATAACATACTTGAATGACAGTCTCCTGGAAGAGCTGGGAAAGGAAAGTAGCAGAAAGATGCAACACCAGAAAAACTCTTACCTATTTGTTACACCTGGTAGTGCTTGTCATATGGATATCTCTGGGCAGAGGGAAAACCATTTACCTGTTTTCTCAAACAAATGAGGTTGGCCTTTCTCTGAGACACTGTGATAAATTACCGAATTATTTCTGTAATTATCTGTGATGAATTACAGAATTGTTTCAGAATGATTTCACACCAAATCATAGGCCAGTGTAGAAATTCTCACATTAGATGAAAGTTGAAATGAGAAAAATAAACCATAATCCTGAAGATTGATTTATTTAATGTAAAGGACTATCCATTTTTCTAAAATTATGTCCTTCCTACTTTTCTGGTGTTTAAAATGCCCTTTCTTTTATGAAATTCCAGTGATAGAAGATGGTACTTTTTTTTTTATAACTCTACTTGGCAAAAAAAAAAAAAAATTGGCATCAATAAACTATTCTAGTTTTATGCAGTTTTGAATGACAGTTTTCTGGTTTTTAAAATCCAGAAGCTTGGAAATAACCAGTTCATAGGAACATACATTTTTTTGGTCTGAATTTGGACAGTTTTCCTGAATTCAGTCATGCTGTCTGTCAGAGTCATTATAAATTACTCATTCTAGTCATTCAACTGTTTATTCTTTCATCTATTCAACCAACTCTTTCTTAATTTTCTTAATGTCTCCTGGGGCCTGGATATTGTATCTTAAAAGATTTGATGCAATGAAAATAAATTCCTTTGCAGAAGGTGCTCACTGTTAAGTGGTGGACGTATTTGTGTAAGAAACTAGTAACTGTAAATAATTACATGTTTATTGGGATCCTATGACATGTAAGGCATTTTTTAGGTCTTGTGGAAACATTTAAAAAAGTATTCTACTTAGTTATTCCATCATTTCTTAATTTTCAGAAAATTAAGCATGAGGTCCCTTCCCTTCCCTTCCAGTTCTGAGTCAGTTGAATCAAGAGGTAGGAATCAGATAATCAGACTATCTGCTTGATGGGAGTAGTGCTGTATCAGAGAAAATAGTTTATAGCTGCAGCTAAAATGAGGCTTCCTAATGCTTCCTAATGCTCCTATAGTTGTTCAGTCCCACCTATAGGAAGACAGATGTGGGACAGATGCAGTCACCCAGTCAGCGAAAAGTGAAAGTCCCATTAGAGGGGACACCGAGGAGGCAGGATTTGAGATCTGCCTGTAGAAGTCAGACCTAGCCTTGACCCAGGCACGTTATCACACGGAACCAGAACAGCCCGGTTCCCTCACCACTGCGCTCTGGTCAGTAACAATCTTGCCGGTGGGGCAAGGCGTGTAGATTTTGGAAAGCATCGGGGTGATTCTAATGCTCTTCTCTGCCTAAGAAGCATGGGGGTGTAGATGCTACAGGGATTCAGAGGAGGGTCACTGCCAGCGCGAGCACTTAGGATGGTTTAGTGAGGAACCCGGGTTAGAGTTAGCCTTACCAGATTGTCAGGAATTCAGTAGATGGGAAAGCAGACAGGAGAGACTTTCAAGGTCAGCTTTTTGTGCAAATTAAAGGGGGAAAAAGTGAGCAGAGGTTGCTGAGGTGGTCCAGCCAGCTATCACAAAGTCGAGGTTAGCCAGGTGGCTCTTTGCAGCGCCCCAGCTCTGGGTTTAGCTCTGGCCAGCCCGCAGTTGATATGCTGCCAACCAGTCTCAGCAGAGCTGCCCCATCACCAACCTGGGGGTGGGGAGGTCCTCATTTTTCTGCCTTGCTCTTACTGTTCTGCTCTGAGAGGCAGTCCATGGGTCTTGGTGTCATGAGGGTAAAGGAGAACATGAAACTGGGTGCATTTTAGTTCCAACAAAATGCCTTTAAATGTTGATCATCACAGTGATGGAGGCAAGGATCTCTGTTAAGACAAGAATGGCATGTAAGTGGAAACTATTTAAAAACCATGTTGCTTAAGATGTGATTTCCTTTCCATTCATCCTAGGTTCCTAATAATGTTTTCATCTGTATACCAACATTTAATATATGCTTTCTTTGGTATTGTAATTGGATGTGGAGAATCCAAGCATTTTGGGTTTCACACTGTAGTTTTCATGTTCATCTTATTTGCAGTGGTGAATTTTGCAAGGTAAGAATTATAATTGAAAGTTTGCTTCCTGGACTTGGGTTCTCAAGCCCAGAGTTAGAATTGGGAAGCAGTGGGTTACAGCAAGAAGAGCTCTGGATGTGGAGTCAGGAAAGCTGTGTTGCTGTCAAGATCCTGACAGTAGATTGCTGGGTGATGGGGGGAAAAGGCTTGTTACTCTTCAGGGTTTCATCTGCAAAATGACAGATACCAGCATAATCCATGAGCTTGATAGAAATGCAAATTTATGGGTCCATCCTAGTGTATGGAACTAATCTCCAGCGTATGATCCAAGAAACTGTTTCAACATACATATTAAAGTTTGAGCACCACTGGGCCAGGTTAACAGCTCCTAACAATTTTGTTGACTTTCATTATCATTATTATCATCACAACTCTGATAAAGCAATTTATTAAGCCCTGACCACGTACATTTTGCCATTAATATTAATATGACCTTATGAGGTAGATGTTACTGCATCATTTCACAGATGAGGCCCAGAGAGGTTAAAAACTTGCCTAGAGTCACCCAACTTGTAAGGGCAGAGTTGGGATTTAAATCTGACTCCCATCAGCCTGCTTTTTCTAGAATGCCATTGCCCACACAGGGTAGTTGTATCTTCCATAAGAATTCATGACAGTGTCCAAAAACATTGTCATCTCCTCTCAGGATAGGCTGGGCCAAGGGAGCTTACTTTATTAGATGTTCTCATGGAATATTGCTTCTGTTGACTTGCAGGCAATGTGTGCAACTCAATCACTCTCACACAGTAGGCTGTGTGTACAGTTTCTGTTTCTTTCCACCTTGGGAACTCATGTGCAAGTTGAGATTGGTCACAGAGTATGAAGAAAGATACATGCTTTTTGCACATCGTTTGACTCATCTATGTATCTATTATCTCATTTCATCTCCATGACAACCCTGGTAGATAAGAATTGTCTCCATTACCTAGATGAAGAAACTGGTCAAGTAAGGCAAAGTACTTTGCCAGAGGTCAGATGGCTAGTGAGTGCCAGAGAGCCTGTGTGAACTTATGGTTCCACCTCATTAGAGGGAAGGCTTCAATGGAGGGACTCATCCTAAGGGGCCCTCAAAGTATGGGTGGTCTTTCCACAGAGACTTGTTGAGAAAAACATTTCAGAGAAAATGAGCTCAACAAAGATGTGGACATAAAATCATTGCTAATGTGTATGGTGAGCTGACTGCATTGAAAACATCATTCTAGCCCTATGAATGTTTCTTTTTTTAATTGAATCTTTGTAATAATCCTTTGAGGCAATTACAATTATTGTTATTATCATCTCCATTTTATACATGAAGAAACCAAGGCTTAAAGAGGTTAAATAACTTGTTGAAAGTTTACATAGTAACCTAGAGAATATATGTATGTGTATGCATTCATATGATCAAATATATATCTCCCAGGTATATTTGGGCTTCATCCACAGCTCCTGAAAACACTGGAGAGTCTTAAAAAGGTGAAATGGGTGTTTCATCACATTAATTAGGGACTTAAAGACCTCCCCTCACACACACACACACAATGAGGGCTGGGGCTCAAGGTTGAATCAGCCAACATCTAATAATTTAGTCAATCATGACTATACAGTGAAGCCCTCATAAAAACCCCCAGAGAAGAGCTGATCACTCTCTGCTTCATTGGATCCTGCTTCTCAGTCCAGGAGAGCGCTCCTATGCTTGGGGAACCAGGACGCCTCCACATGCCACTGAGCCAGGCCCCAAGCTGCATGAGGATAGAAGCTCCTTTATTTGGGACCTTGCCCTATGTCTCTCTTCATCTGGCTGTTAACTTGTATCCCTTATGGTATGCTTTATTAAATTGGTAAATGTGTTTCCTGAGTTCTGTGAGCTGCTCTAGCAAATTAATCAAACCTAAAGGGGAGGTTGTGGGAACCTCCAATCTGTAGCAGATAGGTTAGAAGCACAAGTTAACTGCCTGGAGTTTGTGACAGGCATCTGGAGTTGGGGGTGGAGGGAGTCTTGTAGGACTGAGCCTTTAACCTGGGGAATCTGGTGCTGTCTCCGGGCAGATCACATCACAATTGAGCTGAGTTCTCCAACACTCTGCTGGTGTTCAAGAATTGCTTGGCATTATGTGTGGGAAGACCCCCTCCCACATACACACATTGAAATCTGGTCTGGGAACCTGAATGGAGTTAGACTACTATCACTGCTGTGTATAATATTGTTATTATTATATATATGTGTAGGTAAAGAGCACACCTTCACAGCCTGTGACCAGCCTTATGACTTTTTGTAATGCCTCCATCTTGACCCTACCTAAACAACATTGATTTCCTTTCTATAATTAGTTTGAATTTTTTGAGTTTTATGTTCATGGAATCATATAGTGTGTACTTTCATTCATCTTTCATTCAGCATAAGTAATTTAAGTTTTATCCATGTTGTCCTGTTGCTAGTTCATTCCTTGTTATTGCTGAGCAGTATGGACATATCACAAATCTGTTCACTTGCTTGATGGGTATTGGAGTTGTTTCCACTTTTTGGCTATTAAAAATAAAACTTCTGTAAACATGCATGTGCAAGTCTTAAGGACATGTGCCTCGTTTTCTCTTGGGTAACTACCTAGGAATCACATGGCTGGATAATATTAGAGGTATATGTTCAACTTTTAAGGAAACTACCAAAATCTTTTCCCAAGCTGTGCCATTTTACATTCCTGCCAGCAATATATGGGAGTTTCAGGTTTTCTACATCTCTGCCCATACTTGGTAAGGTCAGTCTTTTTAACTAACCGTTCTAGTAGATACAGAATAGAACCTCATTGTGCTTTTAATTTGTGTTTTCCTAATGACTAATGTTGAGATTATTTTCATATGCCCTGGGCAAATCTTCTTTGGTGAAGTATCTTTGGTGATTAAATCTTTTGCCTCATTAAAAAAAAAGTTTACTTAGTAAAAGAACAGTGTTTGGACCCAGATAAACTGACTCCACAGCCTTTGCCGTCCTGCCTCTCAGGTTTTGATGTCAGGAAATGATTTAAGTTGTTCTATTTTAGCTGGATGCAGTGATATTTTGGAGAAAAATGATTTAATAAACTTGAAAAGGTTGATGAGAATTATTTTGCAAAAGGCTTAAATTCAAGGCAGAGGAATTTGCTCAAATTAATTATTCACATTGTAGATGGTAATTGTAGATTTTCTATTTCTCAATGGCAGGAATTCTTTAAATTGCCTTGTGAAATTCTCAGCTGAGTAACGGACACACATATATTTTTGAGGCTGAGAACAAGTCAGTTTTATTTCTGCTGAAATCTCATTTGGAGGGCAGTACTAATACTCATTTGATGCAGCTCTCCTAAAGTTTCTACATTTTGGCACAGGGGCCTGTAGAAAAATAATCTGTAGAGAAAGAAGACACAAATTGAAATTATTTATATGATACTTAATGTATGATTCTTGTGGGAACTCAAGAAAAATTTAGTTGAGCTAAGTTTATTAATGTATCCACAATAATTTTTCTTTTGACCATAATCTGCATGTCTTCCCAGCTTAATTTCCAAATCCAGTCATGGTCTTCTAGGGGATAGATGAGCTTGTCAATATTATTTGAAGGTTTTCCTGCAGAGATTTACCCTGAAAATCTGAACAGTACATACTAGTGTTAAAGATAATTCCATATATTTGTATAGAACTTCCAGCATTATATTTTAATATTTGAGTATTATATACAAAATTTAGACAGATTTGGTGAGCCCCAGAAAGTTTGAACAACTTATCAATAAACTGGATTGTCTTTTCTTTCCTGAAAAATTTTATATGAAACTTTGCAGTTAGCACATAATTTCAACCGTGAATCACTTTAATACATAAGGTGTGATTTTAAAAAAATGTTTTTCTTGCCACAGGTTTCTTACTATTGTGTTAGCGAGACCTATTCTGAAGCATTTGAGTTATGAATATAATTGGAGGTGGGAAATTGTTATGGCATGGTCTGGAATTAAAGGAGTTTTTACCTTACTCTTGGCTTCTGATATTCATAATTTGGCTGTAGAAAAAACAGACTCACCACAAATGGTAGGTAGAAAAATCTTCTCTCATGATTATTCATATTCATTTCTTTAAATTTTATAGCACTTATCATTGTACCCAATAATAAAGTTAACCGTTTTTAAAATCAGATTTGAAAAATGAATTCTTTTAAATAGAAAGAAACTTTCAGAGGACAGTTTATTTATGTTGACAGAGTGAAAGGGACTAATAGTCAAGTAATGATTATGGACATGGGTGTTAGCTAGACGTGGGATCATATCCTGGCTCTTCTGTTCATAGGCTGAGTGACCTTGGGCGAGTTCCTCAGACTTGTGGAACCTCAGGTTCCAGTTGAGCTTTCAGATGGTGCTTAATAAAATAACAGGCACTTAGTACATGCTCATTAAATGCTGGTTTTCAGTAGCTGTCAGAAAGCATGAAAAAATAATATCCTGTCTAGAGCACACCAACCCCTATAGCTATTGGAGCAAAACTGAAATACTAGTTAAATATACTAAGGAAAGAGAAATTTTGTAAATTTTTGAATTAGGGATCTAGTTATGTTTATGTTTTCAGGGCTACTTTTTTTTTTTTTT